AGCAGGGAGCCCGATGCGGGACTCAATCCCGGGACTCCAGGATCATGACCTGAGCCGAAGGCAGTTGCTTAACCAACTGAGCCACCCAGGCGCCCTATCCATGTAATTTTTTGACAAAAATAAAAATTAAAAAGAAAACCCTACTCATGCAGTTTCACATCTGTAACAACTTTGCTTCAATTTGTCTCCAGTTGTATGAATTTTAATTTTTATGATCAGATAATCATTTGCAACAAAGAAACTGTAGCACTGGTTTTCATTTTTTTTATTAAATGCCTATATAGTTTCTACTGCCCGCTGTTCCATTCTTGTTAGCTATTTTATATATTAGTGATGCTTAATATTAATGCCTTCTTCAGGGAATGCTGAAGTATCTTCCAGATAGGTTTTGTCATGAAACAATACATTCATTCTTTATTCTAATCTGTACAGTTTTACTGCTATGCAAAAAGCTTCCTTAAAAACTGGAATCATTTGTTTAGCTTAAAACCCCAAGGCAAAGGAAATCAAAAGATAAAAACATCACTCTGGGTGAGCCACTTCAGGATAACTGGATTCAGTGGCCTACTCGTAGGGACTAGTCCCAGTTTTAAAAGATTGGGACTACAGCTATCAGCTTGAAACCTACTTGAATGGTTTGCAATCCTCTGACAAACACACTGCTGAGTGGCAGAATTTTTAGCTACTGAAGTCATCCTACATTTAAAAAGTTGTGGCAGCAAAATGACCCCTCTCAATCAAAAATTTATGTGGGACTACAAAACTCATTGCAACAGCTTAAATCCTTTGTCTCACAAAAGACGACTACCTATCACTGCTAGTATTCCAGCATTTCTAGAGGGTTCCTCCTCTCAATAGATTATTACTATATGAGGTCACATGAGATGACCTAAGACTTTCAAACATACTAATACAGTAGAGCTGCTTATACTAGATACACATTAACAAACCCTTGTGAATCTCAGCTGAAGGTAATTTAAGTGTTCCTTTAATGCAGCTCCATTATTTGATGCTTCAACTTCTAAGATGGGAAGCAACGGAAGACATGATCAATTGTTCCAAATCTTAGTACATAATATGTGCAACATAACTGAAGGAATCTCTTCAACATGGTTCTAGATTCTGCTTAAATCTCTCTAGTAACATGAAACTCACACACTATATTTTTAGAGAATCTAACTACTAGAAAGATCTTTTTTCCACTGGCCGAATTTTAAATTCCCTGTAACAACTTCTTGCTGATCCCAATTCTCATTCCCCTTTTGTACAGGAGCTTTTCAATTATGAGAAAGGAAGGACTGTGTCCTCACGAGACCAAACCTCTCTTCCACTTAACCATTTCTCTCTCCTATGCTTTCAAGTCCTCCTACAACCCAGAACCCTTTTTCTGGATATGTAGCAATTAATCCAGAAAATCTAAAACTTGGCCTGTGCCCTGTAAGTACAGCACTCCAAGAATAGCTTTACTAAACAAAAGTGAATGGTGACAGTCATTTCAGAACCAAGAGAGACCACTGGCTACTTACCAGTTTGGGAATGCACTACTCCATCTGCCCTAGATACATCACCTCAAGACTGCCAAGTATCAAGCCCGGTGGACTGAAGATATGACCACCAAACAAATACTCTAGTCACCTCCACTATGGAGGTGACAGAAGGCATTCTGGAATAACAGGTGGTGGTAACCCTGTGATAGGAAGGCTTCATTGCAACCTTCACTATTTACAAAGGTATTTATGAGTAAAACTGATCAAAGCCACAGACTTTCTTTTATACATGCCACTGTTTCTTTATATGGTGCTCTTATCCTACCCCAAATACACTGTTCTTCCAATTGGTAGAGTACTCCAGCTGCCCATGACCAAGGACACTCTGGACTAAATGCTACAAACCTTTAATGTGGAACAGGGTATGAAGTTCCCAGCAATGGGTGAGCAATCTGACCCAATACATGTTGCTGTGGATGAGGAGTCTAAAGATAAGGTTCTCCATCTCATTATGTAATAGATTTACATTGGTTCATTCACATCAGAAACTCCCAATATATGACAACTAACTACAATGTGGTACTCTGGATTAGATCACAGCACAGAAAAAGGAAATTAATGGGAAAACTGGAGAAATCTAAATAAAATCTAGGGGTTAGTTAATAGTAATGTACCAATGTCAGTTTCTTAGTTTTGACAAATGTACCATGGTAATTAAGATATTAACAAGCAAGGGTTAAGAGTATGGTGTAGCTTTCTGTACTATCTTCGTGACTTTCCAGTAAATCTAAAATTATTCCAAAATAAATGGATCAAAATGTAAAACCTTGCTCTGCAAAGGATCCTATTAAAGGATAAAAAGACAAGCACAGACTGGGAGAAAATATGTGAAACCACATATCTGACAAAGGAGTTGTATCTAGAATATCTAAACTCTCAAAACTCAAGATGTAAAACAAACATCTTGAAAAAGATGTAAAGCAAACAATCTAGAAAGGGAGCAAAAGACAGAAACACACATTTCACTGAGAATATAAAGCTGGCAAATAAGCACATGAGAAGATGTTCAACATCATTAACCATTAGGGAAATGCACATTAAAACCACGATAAAATATCACTACGTACCTGCCAGAATGGCTAAAATAAAAAATAGTGACAACACTAAATGCTGATGAAGATGCAGAGACACTGGATCACTCATTCACTGCTAACAGGAATTTAAAATGAAATGGCCACTGTGAAAGTTTGGCCATTTCTTTAAAGAAATTAAAAACAAAAACAAAAACTAAACATGTAGCTATCATTACACTATGGGGCATTTTTTTTTCAAAGAAATTAAGATTTAAGTTCACACAAAAAAACCCACACACAAATGTCCACAGCAGCTCTATTTGTAACAGCACAAAACAGGAAACTGGATGTCCTTCAACAACTTAAAGAAATGATGGCACATCCATACCACAGAATACTATTCAGCAATACAAAAGAATGAACTATTGAAACATGTAACATGGATGAAGCTCCAGGGAATTATGTTGAGGGAGGAAAAAAGTCAATCTCAAAAAGTTACACATAATATGATTCTATTACATAACATTCTTAAAATGACAAAATTACACAAATAGAAACCATATTAGTGATTGCTAGGGGACAGAGACAGGGAAAGGGGAAGGTGCAGGGAAATGGCCGCAGGTAAAAAGGGGTAGCGCATGGGATCCTGGTGGTGGAACTGTTCTGTACCTTGACGCTGGTGGGGGTCACTGAATCCACATGCACTACATACTGCACTCAATACACATGTAACATACCACACATACACACACAGATGTAAAACTCATGAAAGCTGGATACAGTTAGTGAATTGTATGTCAATTTCCTAATTATGATATTATACTATAGCTATGCAAGATGTTATCAATGGGGCAAAATGGGAATGGGGTATACAGAGCTCTCTGTATTATTTCTCTTACAACTACATGTAAAAAACAAAACAAAACAAAAACACACCATAAAACAAAAAGACAATCCAATTATCCATCAGAGGCTTATTCTCTTGGTGGCTTAATCTAACAAGAAATCATGTCTTAATCGAATAGCACCTGGAGTCCCTGACCTTGGCATCTTGTGTTCACCACTCTCACACACAAATTTAACCTAGTTACAGTAAATACCCAACAGAATTCTGAACCGTACTTACTTTTGTACACTGTGTAGCAGGCAAGAGGTCAACAAACACCTTGAGGTCTGTAAAACAACAAGGTTTATCCCCAAACTTTTTGAAATACTGGAACATTAATTCTTCTGGATCACCTAAGAGAGAGAAAAAAAGAATTCACTAAATTAATTCATGAGTGGAAGGAAATTCTAATTTAAGAGGTCTGATTTGAAAAACATTTATTTCAATTAAATTAAAATTTTGCTTGATTTTCCTCCCTCAACATAATTCCCTTTTGCTTGTTCAGTCAGTTAAGGGTCTGCCTTTGGCTCAGGTCATGATCTCATGATCCTACACCCTGCATCGGGCTCCCTGCTCAGTGGGAAGTCTGCTTCTCCCTCTGCCCCTTCTCCCAGCTTATGCTCTCCCTCTCAAATAAATAAAATATTAAAAAAAATAAATAAATAAAATTTTGCTTGAATGCTTGAATGAGAATGACAATGAGGGCTGCAGGATGGCTTGCCCATTTAAACAAATACTTTAAAAAGGAGATAATCTTACAATCTCAGTTTACTTGTTATTACGCTTCAGAAATGTGACGCTTTTCATTAAAGTTTAAATAGCTTAAAAGTTTTCATTAAAGTTTAAATAAAGACTGAAGTTTATATACAAACATTAAACAAACATACTTCTTTCCACAGTTCTTGAACTACTTAACAAGTATTAAATGTTAACGAAATTAAAGGGAATGTTTAACAGGCACACCAACAGAAGAGAAAATAAATGGGAAGAGTCACAAGCCAGTAACTCCCAACAAGATCACTCACTATGGAAAATTCAAACCTGGATCTGCAGAAGCTACCAGTGCCTTTTGTTTTTCCTCAAATTAAAAACAAAACAATTTTAAAAACAAAAACTAAAATAATAAAAAATAAAATGCTCTCAAACTGAACCAGAGTTTCTGTAAGATTTTAGGTGTTGGTTTCTGTTCACATTTCTGGGAACAAAAGTCCATGGCTTTAATCAGATTCTCAAAAGACTCTGATCCAAGACACTAAGAATCACTTACTGCTCTGGGTAAAAAAAATTTTGTGGGGGCGCCTCGGTGGCTTCAGTGGGTTAAGCATCTGCCTTAGGTTCAAGTCATGATCCCAAGGTCCTGGGATTGAGCCCTGCGTTGGGCTCCCTGCTCAGCGGGAAGTCTGCTTCTCTCCCTCTCCTTCTGTCCCTCCCCCTGCTCGCACGCTCTCTCAAATAAATAAATAAAATCTTTAAAAAAAAAAAATTTGTGGAGGGGCACCTGACTGGCTCACTTGGTAGAGCATGTGACTCTTGATCTTGGGATTGTGAGCTGGCGCCCCATGTTGCTGGTAGAGTTTACTTCAAAAAAAAATTGTGGAGACTAACCAAACTCACAAATTTCTATTACGCAGGCTGGTAAGAAGGAAGAGGAAGACAGGAGATGGACATAGCAAGTACCAACACAGATCCAAATACTTTTAGTTCCAGCTTTGGAAAGAAGCAATTCTTTGGGATCTATCTTAACATCTTGCTGAAGCTCAAACGAAAATTTTTCATTTGCAATTCTGGAACTAACAGAGACTAAGGTTTCTGAAGTAGACCTACAAGAGTCAACATGGAATTCAAAAACTGGTTGTGAAAACTCTACAAAGGGAATGAGAGAAGCCCACAGTTAATTTCAGAATAAGCTGCAAAGAGCATTAGTTAGATGATTAAAATGAACAGAGATAATCTAAGATAGGTTTTAGAAACTGGAAGTGCTCATCATCTCAGGACAACTGGTGCCTAAACAAGACCCTTCTGATCAACTTTTAACGAGAACCAAACTTCCATAATGGTAAGTATGGGGAAAAAAGGTTTCTTTGGAGCTTTATCTTAAAAAAATGAAACTAAAAAATTAAGTTTATTACCTTAAACTTAACAAAATTTAGGGTATAACTAAACTATAAGCTAATTCTTAGTATGAGCAAAGAATTACTGCTTTCTGAGGGGGAAGGTGCCATTTTTCCAACAAAATTGTGAACTAGCACAATATGACATCCTTCATTTCTTATGAAGTAAGCTCAAAAAGAAACATTTTCAAAAAACATCGAAGGGCTTCATCAACTTTCCCGAAAGCCTCTCTTCATGCATTACTACCCAAATTATGTTTTTCTCCTATCTTGTCATTGTCCTTATAAATTTTCTCTTAACTGTTAATTGTTCTAACTCTGCCAGATGTTCTTTCATCAATGGTTTTGTGAGTGCTTGAAGCAGACTTTCAAGAAACCTTTCATCCACTTCATGAAATCTTGAAACTTTCATGAAACTGGCTATTTCACTTTGAAATTGATTTTGACATTAATGTTGGGTCAAAAAAGAATGCCTGATAAAGACTCTGGTGGAACAGGAAGAGATGCTAATGTTGAGTTGAAGATATGATTGAGGGCTAATGGTATCAGTAATCCATTCATGAGTAAATATTTTCAGGTTATGAAGACATTTGCTTCCCAAACATGACTTCATCGTAGACCTCAGAGAATGAATACTGCACTTGGGTATGGAGGTCATTCCTGTATCTTCTCCAAGGTTCCCAAATAATATTAAGGGTTCTTACCCAATTTGTACTCATCATTAAAACCTTGACGTCTTAAACGTCTAATCAGTTCCAGTTTAGCAAGATGTGGTCCTCGGAGATGGCGGGAACTTTTAGATTCTTCTGTTATCCGATCTTCTATAAACTTCACAGCTTCTTCTGCAGAATAATGCACTTCTCCTTCTAAAGAGCTAGGTATAAAACACATGGAGAGGGCGCCTGGGTGGCTCAGTTGGTTAAGCGACTGCCTTCGGCTCAGGTCATGATCCCAGGGTCCTGGGATCGAGTCCCACATCGGGCTCCCTCTCGGCAGGGAGTCTGCTTCTCCCTCTG